ATTGGCCACAAAGTTTGTCTCACCAAATCTTTGTCCCAACAATTCGTGACAGGATCAATAAGACCAGATGCCTTTGACAAGAGGTGCCCTCTTCTAGGAGTGACAATGTTCCTGTTCGCACCGTGTGGGATCCATGCATCTCTCTAAATATCGATATTTTGTCAATTTTGAACTCGCCAGATATAACCATTTTTCAGAGAGTTAACACCTGCCATAATGCTTTGCTAAGTAAAAGATGAACCCTTTTTAAAACTTGCACTCATCAAATTGTTGTCGGGGACATACTTAGTTCTTAAAATAGTGGCACATAGAGAATCGGGTTTATCAAATGACGCCATGCTTGTTTAGCTAACAAATCTAGGTTGAAACAGTATATATCTTGAAAGCCCATACCTCCTTGGTTTTTTTGAGACGCATATCTTCCACCATGCCATCCAATGCATCCTTTTCTGATTGTCCTCGTCACCCCGCCAAAATTGTGACATCGCGTCAATAATTTATTTGCAATTTTTTTAGGAATTTTAAAGATGGACATGGCATAGGTTGGGATAGTTTGTACAACATAAATTTTCTTTTATCCAATGGATAATATTTTTTCTTTGCATTTATTAATTTCCATAATAATTCGATCAATCAGGAACTGAAAACAATCACTTTTTTCCATACCCGCACTGGCAGGCAAACCCAAATACTTATCATAGAGAGCTTCAGTCACAATATTCAGAACTGTACAAATTTGCGCCTTGTCATCCACTCTTGTGTTGGAAATACAAAATATCCTAGATTTCTCAACACTCGGCATCTGCCCCAAGGATCAAAGAGTCATTAACAAAGAGAAGATTGGAAATTGGTGGAGCATCTCTGCTAACCTTTATTCCTAAAATATTTCTATTCTCCTCTGCATTAGCTAAGAGGGCAGTCGGACCCTCCGTGCATAACAAGAATAAGTAGGGAGAGAGAGGATCTCCATGCCTCAATCCTCTAGTAGGTTTAAAACTTTTAGTTTCTTCAGCATTAAAACGAACCCGATACTCCATAGAGGAAACATATTGCATAATTAAATTCACGCAGTTTGAAAACCCAATTTTAACATAATTTCCTTTAACAAAGACCATTTCACTTGGTTGTATGCCTTGTGCATGTCCAATTTGATGGCACACCGGCCCTCTTTACCAGCCTTTTTTCCTTTATTGTATGAAAGCACTCATATGTCACTAATATACTAGTTAAATGCCCGTGCATTGCTATGGGTGACAACACAGATAATTTGCGTGCCCTCTGCCCACAATACGTAGATGATGCAGGTGACCGTGCATTTTTCCTCGTCTCTTCACCCAAACAGATCTTCCTAACTTAGTTTCACAAATTTCTTCTATCTTTATGATTGCTCTGGGTCGATTGTGCAAACGAAACACTGAAGCATGTTGCGTCGGCCATTCCTCTAAACCCTGCCACCATCTCCGCCGCCGGAGACCTCCCGTACCACACACTTAATTCCGTTAATCCCTTGCCCCTTCTTCGCCAATGACCACCAGCATTTGATATCGTTCTTCTTCTTCTTCCTCTCGACGCTACTTTTTTCATCGTCCACCCTCACGACCCACCCGCCTCTCCCTAACTAACCACCTGCCACTGCCACCCTACAAATGGCAGATCTTGTCGTACGTCGCTCCATGCTCGAGTCGCCAGCTCCACCTCCGCCAAGGACAGCCATCCCGCTAAACCTTGCCTCCATCACCGGTGCCCCCGACCACCCGCAACCCTTGCCCCTGAATCCATTAAACCCTTGCCTCTCCTCCATCGACGAAAAACTGTTGTTGCTACTATTCTCCTTCCTCCCACCGCCTACCTTTTTCTTCGTCCACCCCATCGACCCGCCCATCTCTACCTGCCCAACCACTTTCCACTGTCATCCACGGCCAGCAAGTGTTGTCACGCGCTACCTCATCGCCCCCTACCAAAGTGGAAGCCCATGTCGCAAAAAAGAAGCGGTCGCCTCCTCCACCGGCTAGCCCTCTAAACCCTTCCACCATCTCTAGTGCCTGCAATAATCTCTCGCGCCCCACACTCTAGTCTGTTAACCCCTATCTCTACATCCTTTGCGACGACGTGGCAAGCCGCAGCACATCACCTTTGGTGAGGTCCTAATTAGACATCACCAAGGACATCGAGGTCTACCATCTAGGGCTCAGTGGGGTGCATGTGTGTTGCTACAGGAAATAAGTGGTCTTGTCTTCCAAATCATCTTAATAAACGTCGGCGTGTTCAAGCCTACTGCACTCCAAACAAATCTCTATAAATCATGTTAACCATTGAGGTTTTCATTTAGAGAGGTAAAGATGCAAAGTTTACACACACTAATATTTACTCAAGAAATCTCGAACTTAGTATCATGCATTCATTTAGCTGCGCAAACTCATTATATATGCATGCATCTCATGGGAGTCAGAAACTGTATACAGATTGTCAAACAGCTTGTGCTTGTACTCATCTTCGACAATAGTACGATCAACCACAACTTTGACTACTATATCACAACACTTCCACAATAAATAACCGTCCTCCATCACCGCTAAATAAATGAACTTGGAGTAGATCAAATAAGGGAAAAGGATAAATCTGCACCTTGATCATGTGGCAACACCACTAAAAAAACTATTTGACAAAAGAGAAAAAGAAACAGTGCCCATACCAAATTATCCTTAGAAAACAAATGCATGCCCATTAAATGGTCAAACTATGAAATGCTGGTAGCAGATTTCAAGCTTGACCATCTCATCTTTTAAGTTCAGACTTGATGTGTCTACACTTTAGATAGCATGGCCTTACATCCTAAACTATTGTAGCAAATATATAATTTGCATTAATGTATGGTCCAACGAAAAAAGGTTCGTGCATACAGTGACAAATTTCAGCTTTGAACAACAATTCTCAAGGCATACAACGATGAATTTCAGGGTTGAACAACATACATATATAAGTTCTAGAAAGGGACTTGTGTTTAACTAAGATTTAAGAGTGAAAATTCTGAGCTCCAACGCTCAAGGTGATGATTCAAGAAGCACTCGAATATAATAAAGTTAGTCTTCACTACTAATATAAAAAAACAGACAAATTAAACTTCCACTTGTCTCTTATTTGACTTTCAAGGCCAAAGGCTGTTATGAAAATGATAGGTACAATAGGACATAGAATCCGAAAACAGGAATGACATCATCAGCAATGAGAATGAAATAACCGTAAATAACTATGGTAATGCTAGGGTGCAATGGGTTCTAGAATTATACTATTCATTCAGGAAGCAGATATCTTTATAGATGCCTACAGCAGTTACCACCATGAAGACTCTAGCATGTGTTTTTTAGTTGATGTTAGAAAACAAAAGTAACTCTTGCTGGACTCTCCCATAACATAGGAAGTACTCTATGGCTACAGAAAAAATTAGTTCATTCTTCATGATAAAAATTGCCCGAAAAATAGTTGTCAATTACTCAAACACACATTAATAAGGAAGATAATTATAATACCAAAAACACATTAATCAACATGTTTTCCAGGACAAAAAGAAACTGACCCAGCGGAGGGGAACTATTGGTCTATGGCTGTATCTACACCCTATATGAAAGAAAAAAAATAGCAATTCAACAGAAAGTCAAAAAAAATGAAAATATTTTTGAAATAAACTTGACCCTTCATTGTACTTGTGAGAAAAAAATTACAAAAGGAAAATTTCCCTTTGACTTCTTTTCAAAAAAGACAAATTTTTGGCCAAAATAGTAGTGACCTACAATAGCAAATAATTTTTCTCTTTTTTGCTCTGAAGTCAATGTTGGTTTTTTGTTCGTGAAAATCTATATACTATTGCCAAAGTAAGTCAAGTTTATTCAAAAAAATACTTCTAAACTATTTTGATTTTTTGTTTAATTATTAAAAAAAATCTCCATATAGGATGTATCTACAAACCCAGCTTGCTAGTACTCTGTCGACAGAGTATAGCAATATCGTCCGCCGCCGTCGACGTCCTGGTCACCGCCACGACGGCCATACGTGATCTTATCCTACCATCTCCTTCCTGAGCGCAGACTAAGAACAAAAAAAGCAAGATTCCCGAGTGCGGCTAATCTGCACCCGGGCTCATCTGCACCCACGCTTAGAAAAAAAATTAAAAAAATACTAGAAAAATTCAAAAAATTCCAAATTTTTTTGTGGCGGTAGATAATTTGACGCGTGAGGTGCGGCCCAAAATTCAACTCATTTGAGCATCTGAGCAGTTCTCGGCAAAAAAGACAAAATCAGGGTCTGTAAAAATGTATACTGTTCACGCACTGTTTTGACCCGATTTGTCTTTTTTGCCGAGAGCTGCTCAGATATCCAAATGAGTTGAATTTTGGGGCGCACCTCACGCATCAAATTATCTACCACCACAAAAAAAATTAGAATTTTTTGAATTTTTCTACTATTGTTTTTGAATTTTTTGCTGAGAGGGAGCAGATGAGCCCGGGCACCGTTTTGAATTTTTCAAGATTCTCGGACTTCACGCTGCCGGCCCCCACAAGTGGCTGCTAAGGCGATTCTAAGGAATACATTGTTTATGTCACCCAAGTCATTGTTCGACACATCAGGCTGGGGTCGTCTCTCTTTCAGTTAAAAATTAGTAGTACTAACAAGCAATTAACTACACCGTACAGGTCACTGCTGAGGCCAAACCCAACGAAGTTAAGCCTCGGTTAGGCATATAGATCTGCCCCAGTTACATGGTGCGAGTAATTCAAATGCTCCAACCATTGCCGATTACGTGCTCCACCCGGCGGCGATACGAAAGTAATACCATGACAGCAAACCGTCTGGCAATGCGTGAACGAGTGATCAGACTTCTTGTGGTAGGAACAAGAGCGTGCTCACCTCAAAGTATTCGAGCTAGCCGCCCATGCTACGCACTCGCGGAGCCTAATCAGCTCACGGTGTAGTGCATATCCACACCATGTACAGTGAGCCGCCGCATGGCCGCATCGATCATTTCCAGATCATGTGATGGACCTGCCCACTCTCCGTTAAACCATCTTCTTATTTCGCTGCCCCCACCCACCCCCCACAAGCTCGGAGGCTCGCCCGCTCGTTCGTCAGCTGTTGGCCGTCTCCACGAGGGACTCCATCCGCACCCGCGGACGGCGAGGTTCTCCGCCATGGCGACGGCGTTCAAGGCGTTCTTGAACAGCCCCGTCGGCCCCAAGACCACGCACTTCTGGGGACCCGTCAGCAACTGGGGCTTCATCCTCGCGGTACGCGCTCCACGATTCTCTCTGTCTCTCTGTACCTGGTTTATCTCTTTTTTTTTAAAGAAAAGGTGTACCTGGTTTATCTATCTAGCTTTCCCAAATTAACCTGTGCTGTTGGTTGATCGCAACCACTAGAGTGCTGCGAATTCCTAGTGATGGTTTGGCACCGGTTACAGTTTATGATCATCTATATACGGGGAATTTCTCTCTTACTCTCCATTTCTAATTAATTGTAGTTCTAGCTTTACCTCAAACTTCTTTATGTTTGATTGAATCTAAGAATACATTAACATATACAACGCCAAATAGATAATCTTCCAATCGTCCCAAATGAGTGGCAGAGTGGTTGTGGAAACGGGGAAGGAGACCAAGAAAAGACAGATGTTTTAGTTTTTTATTTGCATGATAATGTTCTCTTCGGTGAGCCTATCATTCTCCGGATCTATTAGAGCATGACTAATGAATAAAGTTATCGTGTCATCTATAGCCAACCTAATACCTCATAGCGACTCACAACAATTTCACGATTTAAGGCCTCCTTTGATTTACAAAAACTTTGTAGGAATTCTAAAGGTATAAATTTTGTAAAAAAAATTGTTCGGAGCCCTTTGATTTGTAGGAATGGATTCCTATTCTTATATAGGATAGGAAGCAATCCTTCACATTTAAAAAAACATTAATTGAGGCTCAATGAAAAAATCCATATCCTATCCATCAAATGACATCTCTTTCCTTATACGAAATGAGATGCATGTCATCTTACTTTTTATGTTTTTCCTATTCCTAGGAACCAAAGGAGGCCTAATTATATTCTTAAATATTATTTGAACCCATGAATTCCAGTTGATTTATATGCATCAGTGTTGTATGCCTATTACTCACAAGAATAATTCATTAATTTGTTACTCCCTCCTTCCCAAAATCTTAGGCGTTTAAGTTTTTTCATGCAATCCCATAATCTAAGGCGCACATGCCTTCCTCTCTCAATCAATTACAGCTAACGATCCCTGTTTAATTGGAAAGAAGATCGTGGATGCCTCCCACCATTTTTTTGAATCGTGGTCGCCTCCCTGTCTATTACCTGTACGATGGGCCAAATAACAATCCACGTACGCTAATTTTCGTGCTAAAGACTAACACGCCTAACATTGTGGGAAGGAGGGAGTAATTACTATCGTTACAAAAATATTGTTGGATTTTGAATCCTAATCTATTTATAGGAAGTTAGTGAAATAGTTGAAATGAATAATCTTTTCAAGTTGGCATCTCATTAAATTCTTTAACATTGTAATTCAATAATCCTTCGGTTCCTATTTCATCTCCAGGGTATGGCTGACATGAACAAGCCACCTGAATTGATATCCGGCCATATGACTGCAGGTTATTTGTCTGACAAGTCATAGATTCTAGCTATAGTTTGGTGATCAATACATCTTCAACTATCTTTAATGACTACTATTGTGTTGTGCAGTCATGTGTGTGTATTCTGGCCTATTTATGAGGTTCGCATGGGTGGTACGGCCCCGAAACTATTTTCTTATGGCAACTCATGCCTCCAACGAAAGCGTTCAGCTCTACCAGTTATCTCGCTATGCTAGGGCTCAAGGGTAAGGCTTCTTATGTGAACTTTTATTGCCATATTACTACTACTATATTACCATAATATCCACAAAAGATTCACCAGATTAAACATGGTTATCATTTTCTTGTTTGTCGCGTACTTGTCAAATGCTAACATGTCATTTAACTAATGCAACAATAGAGTGATAATATAGATGTTTGGGCTTGGATTTTGCAGTTACCTAGAGAAGAAAGAGCCTGAAGCCCAACAATAACAATGGCCCGACGAATACTGTAGACACTATTTATGTAAAGAAAATTGGTTTCGGGCAATTTGCAATGCTTGTAATCATACCGTTTATGTATTAATTACACTGCCGGAATACAACAAAATGGAAACCCCTATGATACGGAATGAGATCCTTTGACATAGGAGGAATTATAAGGACGTCAATGTGTGTCGTCTGTCCATGCCGCATTCGGCAACTCTAGGCATCATTTGCATCTATCATACTAGCTGGAGGTCGTCTGGTAAGGTGCACGAAGGTCGTCTGATCTACTAATCAAGCCCACACGAGATTTGTTGAGTTGGTTTGTTAATTAACTACTTTACAGTTTATTCCTCCTTCGACCAGACTATCCTGAGTATACAGCTCATACATGCACCCATTGTGTTTTTTTGAACGAGACTATGTACGATTATAATTTTTGGTAACATATCTCTATATTTATAACGTTGTGACCAATGCTACATCATTTAGCAAGAGAGGGATGAGCTCCCCAGGAGACTTATCAAGGAAACTGTTACAAGAAGGGCCTTTAGCCAACTTAGCTATTCCATATGCAACAATATTAGCTTCCCTAGGACAGTGCACAAATGAAGTAAAGGGGAATTTTGCACGCCAATTGATAGCAATCACCAAAAAATGCAGCCACGGGGTGCAATGGTCAGCCTCCCTCGTTCATTTTATTGATAAACTGCAGATTGTCCAAGTTCACTATGATCTTGTTGAAACCAATTGTATGTGCAAGAGAAAGTCCACACCGCGGAGCTATAGCTTCAACAAAAATAAACATCAAGGCACATATCAATTCTCCAATTACTTGCATTAATAAAGTTCATCTTCTCATCCCACATAATAGGTATTCCCCTCGAGGAGATCTTGATCAAATGAGGCGTCTACATTAAGCTTCACATGGCCCCTAGGAGGTAACATATTTCCTTGTTGCTTTAGGGGCTGCAGTAGTAGTGAAATTCGCTGACAAGATGTAGATGGAAGTGGCAATTTGAGTCGCATTTTGGGCTTGCTCGTCATGGGGCACTATTCTTCTCTCCCACACAGTTACTACTCTCTTCATTCAAAAATATAGTGCATCCGCGCTTTCTGAGGTTCAACTTTAACAATAAATTTAACCAACGAGACCGACTGTGGCGGGAGTAACAATTATATAATTGAAAACTTCTTTTGAATACGAATTCGCGGATATAACTTTTGTTTTCACCGCAGTCGGTCTTGTTAGTTAAATTTATGGTCAAAATTGAAGTACGGGAATAGAGGAAGCATTATATTTTGGAACGGAGGGAGTAGTATTTTTCAATTTCCAGCAGTATAGGCTGTAGGTAATGGTATTACTGATAAACAACAGTGAATTGAATTGAAACTTAAGAAGCAATTACTACTAGCCACTGATGCAGGTTGCCATGTGATTACGCGAAGTGTTGATCTTTTTTCTTCTCACTTGAAGAAGGGAAAGGCATGGAACCGGCGGTATAGCGCGCGGAGCCGGCAACTACCAGTTTGTAGGGTGGCGAGACGCACGTTGTCGGCAGTCTCAAGGTCATGCCTGCGCAGGCCGTGGTTCTCCTCCACCACCACAAACCCGCCGGACGCACCGGCGAAGTCCACCGGCTTCTCGTGGTACGACGGCATATTTAAATAGTACTCCCACATCTCGCCCAGAACCGCCTCGTGCACACGCCGCCACACCGGCGGCCGCGCTGCCGCCTCGTCCATCAACCACACGCCCATGACTCTCTCCATGCCACGATACCCCTTGCCCCTCTTGCGGATATCGACCGCGCACACCCGGAGCCGGCCGCCGACGGATCCCAGCGACCGTCCCACCCTGAGCTTCGACCTGTCCCCCTCTGCTGGCTCGCGCAGCACGGAGGCGCATTCGCGAGCGGCGTCGTACCGGAGGATGCGGCCCCGGCGCGAGCTGAGCCAGTAGAAGCAGTTGCCGGCGTGGATGCCATGGGACGCCGCGCCGAGGCAGCGAGCGGCGCCGCTCGCGGCTTTCTCCCTTGTGTCCCACCTGCCGGTCGCGGACCTGAAGGTCTCCACGCGCACGCGCTGACGTCGGCGCCGGACGAGGAGGACCACGGTGAAGGCGAGCAGGCCGGTGGACGACGCATCGTAGTGGAAACCCGTGTTGGCGACGCAGACCGGCACGATGGTGGACGGGGGGAGCGCAAGCCAGCGGTTCGCAGCCGGGTCGCACACATAGTAGCGGCTCCGGCTGCAGCCCAGGAGCAGCCGGCCGTGCGACGCCACGATCGAGATGTCGAGCATCGGGACGGTGCGCTCGAAGAAGACGACGTAATCTTCTACTCGCTCTCCCAATGGCGGCGCCGGCGCAGCATCCACAGCGGAGGTGTCAGCCGTCGTTGTGGTTGTGGCCTGGCCAGACGAGATGTCGACATCCACAGACAGATCCGCCGTGGCAGCCAGCCGATCAGCGTCGTCGTAGTCGTCCGCAGCAGGAGAAGCAGGATCGTCCGTGCCGGTCGAGTAGAGAAGTTGGAACACCGAGTCGTCTCCAGCCGTGTCAAGAAGGCAGGGCCGCGGGTCGGAGTTGGTGGCCATGTACTTGCGCTGGAGAGGGACGTTGACGGGGACGCGATCCGCGGGTTCGATGGAGACGAGGGTGAGGTGGGTGAAGTAGCCGACGTTGCGCCGCGGCTGGATGACGAGCGCGTACGGGCGGTCGTCGAGGAGCGGGAGCGGCCGCGGGGAGAGATGGCGGCTGAGGAACGTCGGCAGGGAGAGCACCGTGCGCCACCACGGACTGACGGCGGCGGCACGGTAGGCGTCCTTGGTGGGCAGCCGGTAAAGAATCTCGGAGAGCATGCCGTCGTCCAGGTGCGGCATGGGTCGCGGCGCGTCGTTGCCACCGCCGCCGCCGCATCTCGGCGTGATGGGGTTCGCCATCTGCACTTCCCTTCCCTATGTCTCCGTGACTCCATCGGTATTTGTCTGTTTATTATCAAAAAAAAAACAAATCCAGACGCACGCGGCCCAATAACAAAAGCCCACCAAGTCGATCTTCCCTCTGCGGATGACAAACGCGATCTAGTCTAGATTAAAAATAAAATAAAAATGATGAACACGATCAAGGACCTTGCCCCGCAGCCCGGCCTCCTCGACACGGCTAGCGACCATCCAGTCATCCAACTTGTCTACTCCACCGGCACGGATGACAGAGTCGCAGCCGTGGAAGATGCGTCGGCGCCCCTTTCTTCAAGTGAGACGATCCACGTAAGTTGAAACCTGCAGTGGCTCATCTTTGATTCTATTTATAATTCATTTTGGTTACTAGCAGATGAGAAATCTGAAATGTGGTGTCTCTGAGAATTGCTATGCAGTGGTAAAAATAAAATATAGGAATTTCATTCAGAGATGGCGCATTATGTAAGCACATCAATTTGGTTCCAGATGCTGCTGCAGAGTAGGTCGGTCCTAAGAGGTCGCACTCAGCTATTACTGAAAGCAGAGTGGCAGGCCCAAAGAAGGTCTATAACCAAGACTGACTTTGAGTTTACAAAGAGTAAGAATACAAATAATGATTCTTCCACAAATACAAAAAAAGATCGAAAGCAGTGTAACCATTGACAACAAGTTACAATTAACCATTGAAAACAAGTTCACAGTCAACTAGACTGACTAACAAAGAGTTTACACAGAGCGAGAAGGCAATACAGACTACATAGCTTCTAACCATTTGAGCGAATGAACCAAGAGCATAACGCTAGGTTAGATGAATTCAAATAAACCTTTGGAACTAACTGTCAGAAATTGAGTCTGCATTGTATCATGCGTATGCAGAGCTATCGAGGATACCTTGAGGATAACAGCTTCCATGCTATATTGTCTTGACGTCTCTTTACTGCTTCTTTCATCTCCAACCCATGGGTGGTTTATCATAATACCATTCCTCTCAAATTCCTTGGCCGACACCTTATCTAACATCTTCTTTCTGGATACTGGAAGGCCTTCCAATGCCAACTCTACTTGTCTCATGGGCGGACGATCCTCTCCTGTTAGGTGTACACATGCCTTAGCAAGCACAGCGACTTCTTCCACTTCTTTGCCTCCTTCATCAAGAACTTGTTGGTCTAGTATTTGTGACAAATTGCCTTCAGTAAGTAAAGCAGAAAAATGTGCAACAAGGCCTTCACCATCCAGCGAAATGTATGCAAATGGTTTTTTTCTAGTCAACAACTCTATAAGAATGACACCAAAACTATAAACATCACTCTTCTCTGTGAGCCTTTGTGTATAAAAGTACATGGGGTCCAAATATCCGATTGTACCTTGCACCATTGTTGTTACTCCTGACCTATCCATGGGAATGTATCTTGAAGCACCAAAATCAGCCACCTTTGCCGTCAGAGTATCATCGAGAAGTATGTTAACAGACTTGATATCTCTGTGGATGATAGGTATTGAAGCTATGGAGTGAAGATATGCTATTGATTTAGCTGTTTCAGTTGCTATCCGCAACCTATCATCCAATGATAAAGATCTTGGCCCCTCAACATGAAGATGTTCATACAGGGTACCATTGGATATGAACTCATAAACCAACAAGGGGACTTCGGTTTCAAGGCAGCAACCATATAGTTTAACTACATTTCTATGAGTGATCTGTGATAGGATGGCAACCTCATTAATGAACTCATCAATCTCCTTTTGAATGACTGTCTTTGGTTTCTTGATGGCTACAACATGGAGGTCCGATAAGATCCCTTTGTAAACCATGCCATGCCCGCCGCCACCAAGCTCGCGTGTTTTATCAAAATTGTTTGTGGCCTTCTCAATCCCTTTCAAGGTTATAACCATTCTTTCCGCAATATCGGCTCTTTGAGGTACCAACTGTTGCAGCAACTGTCCACGATTCTTCAAGAAGAAATGCCGCTTCAACATTTGTGCCCGCCGGTGTTTAATTTCCTTTGAAATTCAGAATGCAATGAAGAACGAAAGTACGACAGCAGCCCCAATAGCAACTCCGACGCTGATGTATATACCTGAAAATACATACATATTGCTGCTAATCAATCATTTTCTCCAGTCCGTGTGTAAATATAGGTGAAAAGACGAGAGAAAATTTGTTCAAGTTAAAGGTGCTGCTCACCTGTATGTAAAGACTTCCAGTCACCTGGGAGGAAAAAACAAAAAATGGTAAATTAGCCTGCTGGCATATACTCCCTCCGTTACTAAATATTTGTCTTTTTAGAGATTTTAAATAGACTAACACATGCGGATGTACATAGGCATATTTTAGAGTGTAGATTCACTCATTTTACTCCGTATGTAGTCACTTGTTAAAATCTCTAGAAAGACAAATATTTAGAAACTAAGGGAGTACATGAGATAGTACTCCCTCCATTTTAAAATAAGTGTCTCGATTTTGTACTAACTTTAATACAAAGTTGTATTAAAGTTGAGACACTTATTTTGAAACAGGAGGAGTACAAGATGGAGAATATATTACCTTTGCATCCCTCTTTTTTGCAGGGGTTGCCGACGTAGCCATTGCTGCACTGGCACAAATAGCCTCTTCTCCCAAGTTTGCAATGGCTGTGCCTGCTCAAGCAGATATTTCTGGCTACCTCCGCGTGACAAGTCGCCGTCGTCGTCGGATGCTGCAACTTGGCGTCGGCCGCCCACGTAGCCAAGTCTTCCATGACCTCCCATTCTAAAATAGCGGGGACGTGCAGCTCAGATCTCAATCCTTCGCGCTGCTGCTGAAAGTCTCGGGCCAGCATGTCGGAGACTTGCTGCTGGTCGAACCACCCCACCGCCGCGATCAGCATGGCCACAGGCGGCGACAAATTTTTGCCCTGCGTTTCCTGGTTCTCATCTATTCTGGTGATCATCCACGATGCGGGTGTGTTGTTCGCGGATATGGAGATGCGCGCCTGGCAGCAGCCGATGCCATAGCAATACCTGTCGCTGCCGCCAGACGGTACCTGCCTCGAGGCGTAGGTACTGCCGGTTGACCTGTTGACGGGGCAGAAGGAGGTGCAACCGCTGATGGTGGCCTGGTCATCACCGTCTCCGAACAGAGACGCCTGGACGTTGCACCCTACGAGGATGAGCTCGTTGTTGTTGGTCGAAAGTGAGTAGGGCGTGGCTTCACGACCCGTGAAGAAATAGTCAAAGCCGCCGGAAGAACCGACAGACTTGCTGGTCATCGATGCGGTCGCACCGTCGACGAGGACGCGCACTGTGTTGTCCAGGAGGGAGATCTTCTCGACGCGAACCTCCCTATCGAGGAACAGCCGCGGCGGGTTACTGCTGCGGTCGCAGGTGAGGTCGAACCCTGGCCGGTAGCAACCATTCGGGCCAATTCCAAACGGGAACGGCACGTCCACGTCCCCGCATGAATAGCTGCACGCATCAGCTGCAAAAAAAGGTGTTATTACTGTAGTTAAAAAAGGTTGTCAACGCTGAGGGCATCCCCATAGGAAGACGCGTAGACGCTTAAGAAGGAAAAAAAATAATTTCCTAAAATAAAAATTCAGCCAAGCACCTTGTAACCCAACGTTGGGCGCTAGTGATATGTGCTAATTAACCGTGAAACCGGCCAGAAATCAACCGCTAGACGCCTGGACTCACCATTCCTACTCGTGCGGAAAGGAAAAAAACAGCTAAGCGGCCACCTCCAGCTGTCGATGCCAAGTTAAACGCCAGGATTTGTTGGCTTAACTGTCGATTGGGAAGGATATTAGTCCTAGCGTCTACTCCTAGGTCCTAGCGCCCAGTGTTGTACTTCCTCCGTTCGGAATTACTTGTCGTAAATATGGATGTATCTAGACGTATTTTAGTTCTAGATACATCCATTTTCGAGACAAGTAATTCCGAACGGAGGGAGTAGGTGTCATAAGGGCATCTCCAATGAGGAATGCCTGCATAGGCGCTTATAGAGAAATAAAATAATTAGAAAATCACCTAAGAGTCTGTCGGCTCCAACGCCAGGCCCATTAGTAGGCGCTAAAAAATTCAAATCATTATGCTAATCGCCCAGGAGAGAAAACGCTTAAGGGCATCTTCAATGGTTGTAAGATAGTTGTTGGTAGACTTTGCCACATAGGATTTTTGATGATGTGTCACACAATAAATGAGGAAAGAGATGAAGGTTATATGTACATGAATCAACACCCCTTGCACAAGCTTTAATATAGAACGAGAGAGTACATTATTTATTATCTCACATTCTATTGAGCAAACTAGATACAACCTATTGAAGTTGTTGTATATTAAGGTGTTGGTTGATGACATGTCATATTTTATCAACAAGCTAACATACAAACTATTGGAGATGCCCTAAGCGCTCCGTTCCTACTTTTCCGTCGATATGGCATTGGACGCCATGATTCTATCCTCTAACCACCGATGGAATAAGAATTCGATCATGGCGCCTCCTACAAGTGTCGCGCATTGTAGATGCCTGACAATGCCACGCTCTAGCGTAGTATTTTTTTTGGCAGTGATAGGCGCCAGCCGACCAACCCAAAATTCATCCGGTCGCCACGGCGTTGTCGGATTCCCACGTGGATAGCTGTTTGATACTTCGTTCCCCATCATTTTCTTTCACTCCTCTCGTGTCCGCATCTGAAAAGAAAAAAAGCACGGGAAAAACATGGCGGTCACCCCACCTCTTCCCCTTGTTACGCAGCGCGCCTTCATCTCCCTCGAGCCGGGCCGGCCACCCTCGCCCCCAACGCTCACCATCGTCAAATCGCAAAAAACAAAAATATCGTTGACCCTGTTGCAACTTTTTCGTGTCCTCCCTGTTGTAAACATGGTGGCTCACCACTGTTCGCCATAGATGCCGCCTCCTGATCTGATCTAATCGATGGGAAAGAAAAACCTACGCCTTGTCTTCACACCAAGGCTGGGTAGCGGTCCAAGACCACCTATTGATCAGCCCAAGCAGAATCCGATGGAGATCTGAGGAAGAAAAGAGTCGATAGCCTCAATGTCGTCAGAGACACCACGAGGAAAGACAAACCCTAGCGAGAAGGGGAAAAAGCCCTAGTTCGCCGCATTCGTGGGATGGCTGTCCAGGACAGGGCCAAATCTCCTACCCATGGACTAGTAAGGCTACGTTCGGCATGGAGGTATCCAAAACGTAGAATTGAAATCATGAGTAGGAATAGAAGATGACTATAGCTACAAAACAGAGGAACAAGAAGCCAGGTGAAAGCATACCACCAGGCGTTTGGAGGAGCAGCAATGTGCCAGAGGAATCGTGGGTCCAATTCAGCTTTCCTCAATTTTTTATTAGGCTGTGCACTGTCTCTCTCTCTCTCTCTCTTTAATCCACTGCATGCTCCCTTCCCGTGCAACACCTCAGGCGTCAGCGAGAAAATTGGTTTTGAGTAGATGTTGCGAATCCCGTGAAATTTGTAAGAATGTGAGAACTTTCCTATGTTTTACTGTTCACCATTCCTTTACTCCGAACGCGGCTAAGGTGGAAAATCCTGTGAAACTGCCCGTCAAAAAAAAAATCCTGTGAAACTATATCCTCCAAAGTTTCCTCTAAAATTCCTGTGAACCGAACAGACCCTAATTGTTTCCACACCCATAAAAAATATAGTAATTTTTTCCATGCCCCATGCCATGGCCTGGGCACAGCTATGCCTTCGATCCATAGTTTTAGAAACCAGGCCGGCGATCGGACCTGAAAAAACCAGAACCGGCGATCCTATCGGTTATTTAAGTTTCACGGACCATTCTGCAATTAGACCGGTAAAAACCGAACAAACCGGTTGGTTTTCAAAAAAAAAGGACTAAAACCGGGTGATTGAAGTGGGAAAATGTTTTGAAAATTTCAGTTGAAGTCGGAGTTGATCCCACTTCACTTGGGAGGCGTGTGGTAGATACCTCCATGCACCTCGCCCGCGACGCATCATCTTGGGACCCTAAGCCGCGCGCGCCCATACCTCGCCTAGACGCCCCGTTAGCGGCAGCCGCCGAAGCCAACCCACTTCCGCCTCGAGGAAAACAAGCCCTGTCGTCGAAGCTCGCAGCAGAGCCCGCCACAACCGAAGCCACCGTGCCACAGAAACAGCCCTGCCGCCAGCTGGACTTTGCTCGGCGACGCCCTCTAGCCGTCCAGCGGCGGCGGGGAGGTGGGGGTGGTCCACCGGTGGTGGGATATGGACGCCCCGGTGCGGCCGCAGGAGCCGAACAAGAGCGAGTTTGAAAATTAATCTCTAAACTTTGTCTTGATTCTAGATCGGATGGGTTAATCCTAGGGAGTGCCGCGTGGGGCGTGACCAAGTTTGTAATGAGCGATTGTAAGCATGTTTATAATCAATATATGGATGCGGTTTTATAAAAACTTTGCTAAAATTGCACATTTGTGAAATCTATTTTTTGGTTCGTTGTTCTTTTTTTTTGGGTTGAATCTACTTTGCTAAAAATATTGTGTACACAGAAAAATAGCAAGACCGTAAAAGTAAAGTGAAAATAAATGGACCCAGTGTTAAGCGTGGCTCATTACCTGCACTCGAAACGACGCAGCCCCCGGGCACGGAAGAGTGACCATGGGTTCCATCCGGGCACTGGCACTCAGAACGATCCCACAGTGTTCGTACAAACGCCGTAGCACCTCTACTCCTCCTGCTCCTTGCATTCGTCGAAATCTACACAGAGCCGATCAACACGTGCAACTCAAATTCAGACTAGTCCCAGATCGTGGAAGAACAAAGCAATCTACTCCTTCTGATCCATATTAATTATCATTGATATAGTACCACAATCAAAGTGAGTAGATCGAAATCAAACTAATAGCGCAAAAATTAAAGCATGAACCTGTGCAGCCGCCGGCGACGTAGGGATTGCCCTGGTAACCATCCACGCAGCTGCACCCATATCCTCCTCTTCCGCTCCTGCTCTAATGGCGACCCCAGAGG